TTAAAGTTTATAGTTTTTATAAATATAGCTTGCTTTGTGGAACAATTAGGATGATTTCAGGGATAAGCTCGATTGGAAAATCACTACTGAAGAACATTAAAAAAATACATCGACTCAGAAATGTCATTTTACCAAATTTTTTTTAATTTTTTTTTATTGCCTTTGTAGGCCGACGAGCATACGGCCCACCTGATGGTGAGTGGTTACCGTCGCCCATGGACTTCAGCAATGCCAAGGGCAGAGCCAAGCCGCTGCCTACCAGCCAAGCCGCTGCCTACCTAGCCAAGCCGCTGCCAAATTGTTTATTAACTATATACTTTTTTATCCGGGATTCCGGTTCCGGTTGTCGATCAGTCAATACGCACGTCACAGAGCTCCGCGGAAAATTAAAAATAAACAGTGTAAAAAAGTGCCAACAAAGAGTGTCATACGAACTATTGTTTGCAACAAAGAACAAATTACACGATTAGCAAAAAACTACAGAAAAGTGTTAAATTGTGAGAACAAATCAACCACATATTGTAATCATTCTACCCTACAAAAATACTGTGAAGTGTCATCTGATGCAAATTGTACATAGACTACAGAGTGGAAACTACAGTACCAACATAACAAACATCGAAACAAGTGCTGCCACAGCAAAAAAAGTGTTGCCATTACAAAACCAGTGTTGTCACAGCGAAACAAGTGCTGCCATAGCAATATAAAAAATACCAAACATGGAGAAAAGTATGGAAATTCTATTGGCAAAATTAGATGAAAAGTTAGACCAACAAACTAAACTTATAACAACTACAGTAACACAAAATGTCATGGCAGCACTAGACGAAAAGTTTAAAGCGATCACCGAAGAAAATACCCAACTCAAAAATAAAATCAGTGAGCTAGAGTTAAAATTGAAATTCGCTGATAAGGATAAGCGCAAAAATAACCTTGTCTTTTTTGGCATCGAGGAAGGAAAAGCAACAACAGAAACGGAGCTAGTAGACTATATAAAAGACATTATACTGGAAATGGGAGTACATTTTGAAACCTTCGAAATTAATAATACTTACAGGATCGGTAAAAAAGAGCTCGATAAAAATCGCCCTGTTGTAGTCTCACTCACAACTACATGGAAAAAACACATGATTCTGCGAAATAGACGTAATCTACAAGAAGGTATAAATATCAAAGAGGACTACCCTAAAGAAATAATAGAAAAACGTAAACAACTACAGCGGCAAGTTGAAGAGGAAAAGAACAAAGGGAATATAGCGTTCATCAAATACGACAAACTGATAATAAAGAAAACACATGAAAGCAACAGAGAAAAGAGGAAAAGAGAGACTTCAAGATCACCGAAAACACCATCACAAAAGAAAGTCAATGCAAGTAATACCCAAAGTACATCGACCACCCTGAACAACGCCTCTTCTAAAACCGCGACAAAGGAAACAATGCGCCCAAATATACTGAACTATATAGAGCGCGGGAGATCCGCTTCATTATCAAATCCCTCAAAAAACTAATATGCGGCACCCGGATCCAAACAATCCCAACAACCACATTACCAAACACAACATGTATAACAAGCACCCCAAGCCGGCTTGTCACCGTGGGGGAAGAAGACAAACACCCTCCATCTAAATCAAAATATTACAACTCGAAACAACCTAATGCAAACCTATCCAGAAAAAATATGCACAAAAAGAAAACAATACAGACAAAACAAGATAAAAAGAACACCGAACATAAAAATATACATGTCTGTACACTGAATACTCGGACACTAAGAACGGAAGAGAGCCTAAAAGAATTAGAAATAGCCATATCCAACATAAAATGGGACATAATAGGCATCAGCGAGATGAGAAGGCCAGGAGAAGGAATAGAAGAGAGGAACGACTATATCATGTTTCACAAAGGAGAACACACCGGACAAAAAGGAGTAGGCTTCCTTATTAAGTCTAGGCTAAAGAAAAACATTATGGGTTTTGAAGGAGTATCTGACAGAATTGCGGTAGCTCATTTTAAATTTCCGGAATACAAGAAAAAATGGGCCATCTTCCAAATATATGCCCCAACAGAACAAGCAGGGATATCAGACATAGAATATTTTTATGAGAGTATCTCAGAAGCAATAAAACCGCACTACAATAACAATATAATAATCATGGGCGACTTTAACGCACAGGTTGGAGAAAGACAAAATGGAGAAGAATCCACAATCGGGAAGTTTGGACATGGCAAAAGAAGCCAAAATGGACAGAAACTAGTAGAGTTCATGATGGAAAATAACCTTATTTTAATGAACTCACGTTTTCACAAAAAGACTAAAAGCAAATGGACGTGGTCCTCCCCAGGTGCAAAATTCAAAACTGAAATAGACTTTATTATAACTAACAAAGCAAGCGCGTTCACAGATACCAACATAGTTAAAAACCTTAACTTTAACACAGACCACCGTATGGTGAGAAGCTGCCTAAGCTTAAACCAATCTAAAAGATCCAGGAAAAACCTAGCAAATAATAATAAGCTGTGTCAAATGTCAGAATACAGTCATTCCATTAATTCTCCCAAAACAGAATCACTCAAAGAAATTATTGCTTCCGACGCAGAAACTGGGATTAAATACAGAAGATTACAAAACAAATTGAAAGAGATGCTAGTCAGCAAACCTAAGAGCAAAGAAAGCTATTTAAGCAAGGAGACACTAGAACTATTGGATAAAAGAAGAACACTAATATCAAATAAAGGGGATAAAGAAAGACGCCAAAAAATTGCAAACCTTAGCAAGAAAATTAAGGAGAATATAAGAAAAGACCGTAGAGAGAAAAGAAATAGTGTTTTAGAAGAAAATATAAAAAGAACAGGAGGAACAAAAAAGGCTCTGAAGCAACTAAGCGAACACGGGAAAGAATGGATATTGAAACTGAACCAACGCGAATCTAACTTAATTAACCGACTCTCAATACTGAAACTAGCCACGGACTATTACCGCCTATTGTATTCTGATAAATTAGGTTCAGGGTTGGACACAATTCCGGAAGTTTACGAAGCAAATGAAAACAAAGTAGACAAAGTGCCAGAGATTCTTGCCTCAGAGGTAACCAAGGCAATAAAATCCCAAAAACTCGAGAAAGCTCCAGGGCCGGACAAGATACCTAACGAAATGCTTAAGGGAACTTTAGAGGAAATCAGTCCTGTGCTGGCAAAACTCTTCAATGAAATCTTAAAAACAAGGCAAATCCCAGAAGAATGGACCGAGTGTCACATAATTTTACTACATAAAAAAGGCACTAGAGACGAGATTGGGAACTATAGGCCAATTTCTCTAATATCAAACATATATAAAGTATTTGCTAAAGTGATCCTGGAAAGAATATCATTAACGCTAAACGAAAGCCAACCCGCAGAGCAGGCAGGATTCAGAAAAGGCTTCAGCACAATCGATCATATTCATACAATAAAACAGTTGATACAGAAGTATAATGAATACAATAAACAAATATACTTGGCGTTCATAGATTACTCAAAGGCATTCGATAGCCTCAGGCACCAATACATATGGCGGAGTCTTGAACAACAAGGAGTCCAGAGCAACTATATAGAAATACTCAAGAGTATATATAAATCTAGCAAGGCCAGTATCAAACTTGAATCAACAGGAGAGTCATTTCCTATCAAAAAGGGTGTACGCCAAGGCGATCCTCTCTCCCCTACACTATTTAACGCCGTACTCGAGCACATCTTTAGACAGCTAAACTGGGACCACTTAGGTCTAAATATAAATGGAGCTCGCCTAAACCACCTAAGATTTGCCGATGATCTGGTGCTTCTTGAAGAGAATCCTGCGGCAATAGAACTAATGATGCAGAGCCTAGCCAATATAAGTA